AGAACTTGACGACAAAAACGAACGAATACTCCAATTAAGGGAGGAAAGAGACAATGCCGAACGCCAAAGAGACCAGGCTGAAAACGCCTTCGATCTTGCCCTGCGAGACCTGAATATGAGTAAGGAAGAAGCAAAAAACTTACGTGTCACCATAGACGGCTCTTTCGAGGAACGGCGGCAGTTGGTTGCCGAAATCAACACCAAAGAACAGCAAATTAGACAAAGAGATCAGGCCATCGAAGACCTGGAGGGGCCAATAGAACAACAGCAGGAAATAATTAATGACCAGACTCGCCCCGAAGAGGAAAGGGAGGCCGCCCRAAGGGAATCASAAACCCTTSAGGTAAGAGTTGCGGAATTACAGGCGCAAAAGGAAAACCTGGAGCGGGAGTTGGGGCTTACTACCAAGGAAAAGGTAAAAAGAGCCCTCATGAAGTATGGCATACCGCTAGCATTCGCGGTGGGTATTTCTAGTGCAGTAGGATACATTTTATACGCGCTTAAGGCCACGGGTAAAGGCGTAAGCAAGATAGGCAAGGGATTGGCGGATTTGGGAAAAAAGATGGCAGCCAGCATTCCGGGGCTGCTTGGATCTGTCATTTCATTCGCACTTAGGACCGGCGGAGAACTGTTGAAGTTCTTGGGGAATAACATTTGGATCTTGGTTGTCGCTATTGGAGTGGTCCTCCTGAAGAAGATGAAGGGTTAATCTTGCCCTTGTGTATTACTGAGGGCTTATCGTCGTCGGGCCTCCGGGGTGTTCTCGACTTGGGATAAGTAAAGATAGTATTCGCGCCGCCTTGATAATTTGGTACCAGTGGTATGACGATCATGGTAGAGATTGGCTTATGATTCCAAACCTCATCCTTCACGATATTACCCGTCTCAAAGATGGCATTTATCCTGACGAAGCTATGAATCGACGGATTCGATGGAAAATTATCGCTAGGACGAACTTGAAGCTTYGCATATTGGCAGTTGGCTATCATATGAAAAGTTACCGGCGTTAAGTCTTCCAAACTCGCAGGCGCTGGCTAGAAACGTGAAATGAGCTAAAGGCCTGGCATTTGTCTTTTTCCTATAAGGCGGCGGCGGGGTGTTAGTCTCATCAAGGATCCTAAACCCAACATTACCGTTATTCCACACGTTAATGCTAACGGTGCATATAATCAATCCCAGACCGCCAACCTTTACCCACAATCCGGTGTCTTGCCACTTATCTTCCCTATCGAACCATTTCTCCTTCAAATAGCAAAGAAACCAATCTTCCTTTGCATGTGGGTTGTTTATATATCCTAGGTAACAAAGTTGCCTTCTAAAGACTAAGCACCGTCAAAGTACTAATCGTGGCATGATTATACGCGTTATCCCCTTGATCTTCTATGCTGTTAACACATACGCTTCCCGTATCATCTACTCTCATTTGTAGCTTTACCTTCCCATGACAATCGGCGACCAGGTGGAAAGTCCAAACGGAATGATTTTCGGRGCTGGCTGGGGTAGGCTCTRCGGAGAAATGCGCAGGCTCCCTATTGTTTGTTTTCACGCGCATGGGCTGTAGTATACCATTGTCATCCAGGAACCTAAAGCCCACGTTGGCGTGGCTGCTCGTGSCAATGCAAATACTACATATTATCAACTTCTTTCCTGAGTAGTTCAAGTCAACAGACATCCCAGTGACGTCAACCCAAGATGCTTGGGTGTATTTTTTCTCGCCTGTGTAAGTCGTATAGACACAATCTACTCCAGCTACGTAGGGGTTGTTCATCGCCATATATAATAACTCAGACCAATGCTTGCGGTGGCCAGGCCGGCCTTTAGTAAGTTATGGTCATATTCCTCGGGTATCGTAGGCATAACGTGGACCTTCTTCTTCGGTTTGGGTGGTTTCTCTGTATGTACCTTCTTTGGCTTTTCTACGAAGTGCGGAGTCCCTCCAAAAGTGTCAGAGTTCACGTCATTCACCCCAAACTTCATATCCGCAGTAGCTCGTTGAAGTTTGTTGTTGTAACCCACGACGGARTGGGTGTTAATGACCAAATCACTTGGCATTAACCAACAACCAGGTGACAAAGCGTAATCCAGTCTAACCTTTGATTGCTGCACCGCTAATTGATATCTTTGCACCGATTTGGATATGTCATTTTCTATTATCGCGGACTCAAATAAAGTTAGGAATTCCTGTTGCGTSTCTTGTGACGCGCCGTGCGATCCAACGATGGGGCTGCGGGTATTTACCTGTTCCCCCAAAACGCAGTACACGAATGCTTCAATGCTGCGGTTGATCCTAGCTAGGCTTCTTAAACCTTTTCCTTTTAGCAGCACGAATGGATCCCAGGGGCTGGGGTAAATCGTCTCAATCCTATCGATAAGAGTAACGTCATTCTTACGACCGCCTAAATCATAAAACTTCAAGACTCCTGGGTATTTCTGGTGATACATGTCTGCCGGACGCGCGCCGTCAACATGCCACGCATAGATGATACCTAAGCCGCGCGTGGCACCCTCCCGATAACGGAAGTCTCTTCGCTGCGGCTTAAACTCATTCATTAGCCTTTCTAGGGCTGCGGAGTCAATGGAACACTCAGCTCCTTCAATATGCGTCGCATAGTAAAGGCAACATGAAACCTTAGAAAGGCAATGTCAAACATGTCCGCGGCAACCCCACAGCCCTTCGTGGCTGCCCAAACGGCAAAGTTCAACTGCCTAAAGTTAGGCCCCTTTAACCATTCTCGGGCTTCTTTTCCCGTAATGTGCGTGAGGTGAAAATCCTTGAAGATACTCCTTACTACTACGTCAAACGTTTGCTTACCCACTGGAATCTTCAAATGCGTTACTATCTTATCAAAGTCGTTTATACCACCTTCCGCGTCGTAAAATGGGTAATCCTGGTTGGTTATTAATAGATTCTTTGGAAAATTAGGCTGCTTGCTTACCTCTCGCCTTTCTTTATGCTCGGGTACCTTCTTCGTTATATTTGGACTCAAGTCCGCATTGCTGTACATTCAAGAGCCGTCGAAGTAAATCCCATCGGGTCTTCTTTCGAACTTACTAGGGTCTGCATGTGGAAACATCTTCCTAAATGCTCTCCAATTCCAGTAGTCTCTGTTATCGTGATGTGGCTGCTCCCCGACGTCATTCCCAAAAGCGTCGTACATTAGTATATATAATGGATGTTATAYCTTCAGCACCTAAGATGTACCCAGATATTCCCAATTATCACACTACGGCACCCATTGCGGATGCAGAGAATTTCAGACTCAACAAAGCGAACCTAATCCTGGCTTACTTAGAACAACAAACAAAACACTACGAAGGCGTCAGGAAAAAATATGCCAGAGCCCGTAGCACGCTGCATAAAATTKCGATAACAACCGGGTCCATGTCTGTCGCATTAACGGGCAGCGGCGTCGCTACTTCGCTTACTGGCCCTGGAGTAGTCGTAGGCGTTCCTTTGGCCGGCGTTGGGGCGGCCTGCGGTATTGTCTCCGCCATTGCTACGGGCATTATCAGACAACTGTCCAACAAAATATCCAAACACGAAACAACGATAGCCCTTGCTAGGGCGAAGGCCAACACTAYTACCGATCTAGTCTCCAAAGCTCTGGTAGACCGTAAGATAGACGACGTGGAATTCTCTTTGATCCTGGCGGAGGAAAAGAAGTACGAAGAATTGAACAACAAAAAAACGATCATAAGAGATCTTTCCGAGGAATCTCGAAGGAAGATCTACCAAGAAGCAAAGGAAGAGCTCCAAAGAAAGCTCGCTCAGTAAACATTCACTTTGGATTTCAATTCACGTCAACGTTGGGGTATCCATGCTAACAGTGGATGATTGGGGTCTAAATCGTGGAATATTTCATAGATTRCGTCAGGATAATAAGGAATATCCTTATCCAGCCGACAGAACATCCACTCGGCCCTTCTCATAGTATCTTCGGAAACCTCAGGAATAGGTTCGCCGGTAATTTCAGACAAAAGATAGGGAATACCTTTGTAATATTTCCCTAGCTTTAATTTTTTCAATGTCTTCCTTAAGCTTCGTGGTGTTGGTTCTTTTAAGTCAAGCGCAATCATCTCCATTACTTCGTTATCAAGGTAGACGGGGCGATAACCTTTGATWTGACTCATCCAGTCCCTAAAGTATCTTATTCTCTTGTATGGGGTCTYCTTACGACCTCCGTTAGAGTAATATTGTTCCCTGGTAGCACAAGGTACGGCATTGCGAAATGTTCTTACCGCACTCGTAACACTGTGCTGACGTGTCATCTTCTATTTGCATCTTCTTACCACAACAAACAAGCTTCCTTGATGGTTGGGGCACAAACTTTGGTTTCAGGCACTTTATACAGAAGTCGTAAACGAATTCTTTACAATCTTCGCACTCCATATATAGACTAACATATTTAACTACGTAGACATGGGATGCRGGTATTCCTGGCGTAAGCCGAGGTTCTACAAACGCGGGTAAACCTCGGGTGGTCACTGTTTTGGAACCCCCATCCCCTATACTACTCCAATAATGTTTGTTTACATTCAAAGCAAAATGTTCTGCCCTCGCGTCTCCCTAGCGTAAGTTTGGACTTTGATCGGACCAGGACACGTGACTTCTCTGGACCAGCCAGCAGCGAGACACTTTTATAGTGTTGCGTGACACCATAGTGTGACACCTCTATTAACTATGGTGACACGTTTTGTGTTGATGAAAAACAAGCAACAAAAACCAAACATGTTGCACGAAGTTGACTGGCGCTCTACTTCGCGCAACAACTTTCTCAACTCGCAACAAATGATTTTGTTGCGTGACAAGCTGATGGTTAGGGGTGAAAAACGCTCAACAACGATTTGCAACTTGCAACGCAATAATGTTGCGCGACAATTAGCATGATTTTGTGTCCCGTATTTCGCCGCCTTTAGTGTTTCACGTCGTTTTAATCAAGATGACGACTTGAGAGTATTAAACTATCTTTGCAAAAATAAAATTTCTTCGTAAGTGTTACCTCTGAGTGGCAAGACTTTCTCGTCTCCTGCCAGTTCTTTCGCTGCCACACCGGTGCAATTCATAACCAAATCAACATTGTATTTCTCTTTGAGATCTTTGATTTGCTCTATCAGTTTGCCTTTTATTTCGCCTTTGACAAATTTCGCCCCCTTCACTCGGCACTAACAAATGACGAGAAAAACGGTGAAATTATGATATGGTACGACGAAAGAGTTCTAGATGTGCATTTTAAAATTTATTATTGAAGCCGCATCTCATATCTAGATCTTCAACACCTACGTCCTATAGGCTCGTATCGTGGTGGTAGCTCAAGTGTACAATTACTTAGCTATTAATGTTTTTCATGCGATTTCATTCACGCCGTTGGTTGATTTGAAATAAGGAATTAATATATAAAATTGTCATACAGATATTAGTATAGTCTGCGTGGTAGGCGTTCCTGGCTGGGTGCTGAGATGAAATGGGGAGAGAGATAGAGAGAATGAGGAGAAAGGAACGCCTTTTCGCAAGCCTCGTTATTGTTTAATATTCCGTTCGTGGACGACGGGATCGCTGATTGGCACTGCTTGACTATTTGTGGTTGATAGCTGATAATTCCTTCAAAAATTAGGAATGTCTGACCGATGTAACACACTGTTATATTAAACATGGCGGACTTTAGTGAAAYACTGTTCGAGAAAGTTTTAACATAATTATCGAAATCACTAGCAAAATCGAAATAGATCAAAAACCCCAGCAGAAAAATGTTGCGAGACAGCTAGTTTTCGGTGGCGACTTGATGGCTGTTCTTCCGACGGGATTTGGTAAGGGTATGATCTTTCAATTTCTCGTCAAAAGGAACACAACAACGAAAAAGATTCCTTCGCAAGTTATTGTGATCTGTCCGTTGAAGAGCATCAATATTCAAGTGTGTTACGATGATTCGTTCGCTTGTCTGGCATTAAACAGACCTTTTACTAGTAGTAGTTGGAGAAGTCGCATCTGTCGCACAGTGTAACTTGGATCTTCTCCACGACGGGCTTTTTTAATATTATCTGGCTAAGTATCTAAGTATTCTAAGTATCGCTTTTTTCTTTCGCTTTGTTATCTTCAACGGGATTTTTTAACAATAGCATGTTTAACAAATCGGTAAAGGGTTACCGAGTTCCTAATTTCCTGCCACAACGATTGCAAACTTTATCAAATTGTTTGCATTGTTCTCTATAACAATTCCACCCTCTCTACATAAGTCTGCCAAAATATCGCCAAAAGAATGTTTACGTTGGGAAGGTCTGAATAAATTTTCAGATGACAATGTGCCGTTCTTTAGGAATATAACAAATTTAACATTAGAATTGCATTGATACACAATCTACAAACTTTTCGTGTATCGTGAAGATAAGACGTGCTAAAAGACAGGCATGTTTGTGAGTTTGACAAGCAAGAAATCCACGTGTGGCTAATATTTTTACCAAAAGTCAAATTTCACTTCCTTTAAATTCCTTGGTGCAAATCAATTGGTCATGCATAACTAATTATGGGGAGTATTTCAAAATAACCAGGCTCGCGGGCAGGCGTTCCCTCTCTCCATCTCCTCTGGGTCCCCTGCCAGAAACGCCACGCAGGGTAACATTTGTAAATCAAATTCATAAAACTCATGAATAAACAATGAGGAAAACACAATAGAAATCATTGTCCGTGGAGGAGGTTGTATATCTGATACAAAATCGTCCTGATTTGCATAAACTTTAACTCTCCAATTTTCTTAGCCAAATTCAATTTTATCTTTAAAATTATAGTAGAACATGAATGTATACACCTAGACGTTTCATAAGTAATACAGTGGARCCCCGTTAATAAGGACACGGTTGGGACGGACAAAACTGTCCTTTTTAACGGGGTGTCCCTATTAACCGAGGTGTCAGAAAAACAGCTGAAAACACATTTTTAACCATTTATTTTTACTGTACTGTAAAGCTTGAACTACAATGTTCAATATAACAGCCTAAACTGGAACAAAAAGTGCATGACCGTACAAGAACTACATTCGCATTTACTGAACTGCATTGTACAATTTCATTTTGAGTTGAGTTCTGGAAAATGACATTGCAATGGTATTGCGAGCTTTGTCTATTTCATTATACTGTCAGTAATAGGAAACTATACTGCAATGATCAGTGTGTGGTCCGTTGATACGCAAAAACTGACAATATAATCCGTATTAAGCTCATTATATCAATAAACAAATACTGTAAAGACGTCTTCAAATTTTAAAAGTGTCCTTAATGCGGAGTTGATTTTGTATGGAAACTGTCATTCAGGTCCTAGAAATGTGTGCTTTGTACTTATTAACGGGTGTCCTTATAAAGCGGGTTAATTTAACRGAAAATGTATGAAGCTTTCGTCGGGACTTTGAAACCTGTCCTTAATAGAAAGGTGTCCTTATTAAGCGGGTGTCCTTAGAGCGGGGTTCCACTGTATACAATATTCGTGTCCGTGTTGTATCAGATTAACAATCACTCGCCTTCGGCTCGTGGTATGTATATCTGATACAACACGRACACAAATACTGTATATGACTTATCAAACGTCTAGGTTAGTTCCTTTGTGTTTCACTAAAATTTTCAAAATTAAAGTGAGTTTGGCCAAGAAAATCCAACTTAAAGTTTATGCAAATGAACACAGTTTTGTATCAGATTTACGACACTCTTCAAGGTCGTGATTTCTGTTGTGTTTTCCTCATTGATTATTCATGAGTTTGATAAATATTACTTACTTAAAATTAGATTGSATAATGACGTACCTCATTGTATATCCACTTCATGAAGACCACGGTATCGATGGCTGGAGCTTGCACACAATAGGCATCAACAACAGGAACAAAATCAGTCGTACTGATACCTGAATCAGTTGTAAAGGGTTGTCAAGTACATACGACATGGGACTGATCGTCAGGAAGGTTTGACGAAGTGGTCTAACATGCAGGGAGTCGTTTCGTGAAAAAAAAAAGGCACAGAGAACCCAATACCAATATTTTACGGGAAGAAATAACACAGGGAATATTTTACAGAAATTCCTTCTTTGAATGTGCAAATAAAAAAATTCGAAGTATATGACGGATCATCATGAGGTTTTGCGATCCGGTATATGGAATGTCATTTTGTAAAATAACGCAAATAACCCATTACCTGTGTTTTACCAGACGTTTTATCTTGAATATGCAAATAAATATCGAGGCACTTAAAATTTTCAAAGCATTTGGTCTAGTGTCCTTCCAAAATCGATGTCTGCAATCGGTAACTTCCTCTGTTTTATTTTTACAAAATGACATCTGGTTAGACAAATCGTCAATCCGACCTTCATGACGATCCGTCTCATGTGAAATGTACGTCGAAGGCTGCATTGATTCAAGGGTTTTTCTTCAATTTTCGTCCGCATAACCAAGCTGAATTTTAATTCAATCTGCGAGTTGTCCCTGCCCCGACCTTGATTAGCCCGTATGTTGTTCCATTGTATCTAYAAAACTTGGTAGCTCGAAGATTGTTTGTCAATAGGTTCTCAAGAATGCTCATCTAGTATGTACTGAAATATCCACATGCAGCTCGGGCGACGTAGAGAACGCCTTTGTATTTACCTGTGTTCCAAATACTGGCGTAAAATTTGAAGTAACTGTTCTTATAGGTACCGCTTAAACACCAGGGCCCGGTTGTTCACGCTAAACCTGGATTAAATCGCCTAATAGAGGTTTAAATTTTAATCTAGGATTAGATTGTGTTGTTTAGAAGAAGAAGAACTTTATTTGTACCCATTATTACATTATTTTCTAATTTGATACATTTGGTTAAAGAGTGGGTTAAATTTAAACCGACTGATTATAAGATTAGACCCGCAAACCGAATGGTCTACGAGTCAATTTATAGCTCACAAGGCTGATAGCCGAATGGGCACCTTGGATTGGGTTATTGACTAGTAAACCATGAGGGCGAGTGGTTTAATTGTTTAGGCTCAACCAAGTAATCGGTCAAATTAATGGTTTTGAGTTAACCTTAAGTTAGTTTACCTGTTTCTTTGATGAGGCTGGCGGAATGCCGGAAAGTTGGTATATTGGACATTTCCTTTAGTTTTTGCGCTTGCTCAGGTGTTTCTTCCATCTGTTGTATAATCAAATGCAATTTTTCTAGATAACGCATTCCATGGGGTTTTAATATCTTTTAAGACTAATATATTCTATTGTTACTATCTTTCATTTTAATAACTGGGTGACCTCGTTTTCCTCCACTTGTCAGCCAATATTTGAATGGTTTATACAAAAAGTATACTATTTTTAAAGGACTTGAACAAAACAATAGGTAACAGGCAAGGTTGGGATTTTCCTCCCGGCCGTCTGGGTCTGGGTCCTTCCGTATTGCCCTTAAGGACGTCACGCTCATCGTGGTGACGTYATTCCAAAATTTTTATAAGCAACAAATGTCATAAAACTTTTTAATTTCTTATAGCTTCTAAAACAAATCAGGAACCCCTTCTTTTTAATGGCTGTTATTCCAGTTGAGTCCGCAATGATAAATTCTTTTGTTTTAAGAGCCATACAAGTGAGGCAATCGGGCCGATGCAATGCTGGTTGTCTCATTTGCATCTCATTTGCATGCATCCATAATAACTACTATTCGTTTTTTGAAAGCACTTTATAATACCTAACTTTAAAGGAAAAAATWWAAAAAAATCTGACGATGGGCTCAATTCGAAATTACACATTTTTTGTATAATTGGAATAGAATTTCACTTAACGCGAAGGCTTCAAGTCCACACTTGTTTCACAATAACATTCTAAATTTCTAGATTTTAACGCACATTTTAAATGTTAACTAGAAAAAAAAAGGAATTTCATTTTTTAAAGTCAAATATGACACTTATTTTTGACACTTTTCCAAGGTTACGTCGACGCGCGTTTTTACCGTAAAAAGAGTGGGAAATTTTAAGCATTCTGACGGTTTAGTGATAAATAGTGTAAATTATATTATTGCGCTTTTATTGCGGGTTGCACTCTATTTTGTAAAAATCTGTCTTACGGACGATCATGACAAGGGATGCCATCGTCAGATTTTTTTATTGTACRTCATATTAGAAATAAAATGAGCAAAAAAATTGGGCCCACAGATTTTGTTTAGCTATTAATTATACAATAGAAAACATTATTATAGAATAATTCAAATMAAACGCGTGCTCTGATGGGTAAATAACCGTTTTATATAAAGATCGTAAAGAAAAAACATCAGYAGATGCAAGAAGCTTTCCAAGAAAGACGTGTAAAGTCGGCATGAACGAAAAYTCTAAATATTCCAAATATTCTGTACTGTATAATACTTATGATTTATTTCAATAGCACTTAAAAGTGCTTCACTTGGCAGTCAGAACCAACTGAGACCTCACAACGACCGCCTCTAAGTAATGGCCACCCATCTGAATTGCCACACTACTATGATAGAGTGCTTTAGTTAATTCAAAATAAGGTTGGGCCATACCTTTTGCTGGAACAGAACATACATTGGGCGCCAAAAAACTCCTGTTTGACTGCTGTTCTTGCTAAGAGCCTTAAACTCGTTATAACTAACCATAGCCCATTTCTGAATGAACAATAAGGATACTAAGGAAATATTTAGGGAGGTTTGGGCTTCAGAGGGAAGGGTCATCAGCAAAAAAAAACATATGAAATATATTTATGTGTCAAATGTATTTACCTTTTCTTTTTACAGATTAATTGGGGAAATTAATAGAATGAAAGAAAAAGAAAACAAATAATGATGATGATGATGATGATCGGTTGCTGATGATAAGGATGACGATAACAACAAAATTTGATATTATTATAAACTTATGATGCATGATAATGATGATTTAGAGGATGGCGATCACGACAACGATGACGACGAAGATGACGAAGACGATGTTGATGATGATGAAGATAATCAGTCATAATGATTATCTATAATGATTGAGAAGACGGCGATGATGATGATGCTGTTTGAAATGCAGTGAGAATAAGTAAATCAAACAAACCTTTGGCTTTTCCAGTTTGATGTCGGTGTTATGACGACCACAGAACCCTGGTGGATAYTCCCACTGTGCTCCAGCTACCTCAGAAGTTACGGAGTAGTCACCTTGAGCAAACTGCTTTGCCARAAGAATGACTTCATACCTATTAGGTAAAAAATATATATTAAAAGAAAAGAAATTTCTTTTTGATTTTCTTCCTTAGTTGCTTGTTTGCTTTGTCTTTTTTTTTTTTTAGCTTGCCCACTTCTTGCCGTGCCGGTATTACATTTCCATCATTGGAATGGCGTCCCGGGTAGTGCCTGCGGTTACATCGCAGTTGTATCACCGACATATTGGAACAAGGTTATATAGAGAGTTGTGTTCTAACCGGAATTACTTTCAAGCGTCCGGTCGGTTCCGTTTGTAAATAATTGACGCTCTACCGGCCGGGAWATATAGACGCAAAACTTTAGGAAAGAGGTGTTAGTAGGATAAATGGCACGCCAAGTGCAGTCCAAGTCTCACCCTTTTTCAAGTAGCTCGTATGCTGTAGTAGCACCAATTACCCCRGCACCAATAACGAGTATTCTGTTAGACTTCATTTCCTGAAAGAATAAAATAGACACTGAGCGAGGTGTTTTTTTCCGTATCATTCCAAAATTGATTGTTTTAATTGGCGCCTTTATTTTTGATCAGTCAAATAATTCAACTAGTAAAAGTATTATCACACTCATCCATAACTCAGTAGACCTTTCTCAAAATGGCTTAAGTACGTCAACCAAATGGATTGAATTAGCGTACGAACGCCCGTGAATAGAAGTACGACAATACATTAAGTGTGGTCATACTTTTGCGCTGTAAAAAACGACTCGTGTTATAACTTTATAAAATAYATGTGCATAAATGAATGTATCTTAAGAGCGAGTCCGTGTGAGAACCATGCAGGCAGGTATACATGGTACCTCACCGATTTTCTTTAAACGTAGCTTGTTTGTACATCTTGATGAGCTTACTACTCAAGCAAAGTCGTTTGAGCTTAGAGTAAAAAGCGTTGGAGTTACAGCTGTTTGAATGTTTTAACCTCAAAACGRCCAAAATTAGCATAAAATTTTGCTGAMGTTTGAGGGTSTCATATTTTCTCTACAGTTTAGATAGAGAATTCATATCTTGTCCACGACTGACTTGTGACCTTATAAGCATTGTAAAGTAAATAAAAATTTAAGTATTTAAAATTTGACAGTTCTGTAGATTTTTGAATTATGGMTATTATGCAGTTGTTTTCGAGCTTATAAAAATATAGATTAGAAAGGAGCTATGTTCAATTATGCGGCTTCATTTCCTTTGACTTCGAAAGCTATCACCGATATATCAATGATAGGGCAACCTGTTTAGCAAAAAAAATCTTTGTAAAGGTYTCATTTTTCTAGGAAAAATTACATCTCAAATAGATGAAATTTCGCTTGTTAGGTGTCACGTGACCCAACAATACGTCCATGACGATATTTTCAAACAAAAAACGGCGTAGACTTAGGCCATATTATAATTTATAAAAACCTTTATCGTGTAAGAATAGTAAATACAAGTTCGCAATTTAGATTTGTTGTTTACACATATATATTCTGTGCTCGTTGACTCAAATATAAGGCACTTTGTTTTGGTGGCTAATTTGGGTAAAAATAGAACCTGTGTCGATCGATGCTTTTTATACAATTTCATCTTAATTTCAAATTTATATCTCTGTGATCTAATTGCATTTTTGTTGTAACGAAAACAATATTRTGACTTTTAAAATCGCCTTTAATACACCTATTATCAAAGTAACGCGACCTAGGCGTATAGAGTTTTAACTTCCGTTAATCAAGTTACGACRGGCCGAATTCATTCCGATCGCWAGCGATGAAGAAATTCCCTTATTCGTTCGACATCCACTTAACTTTATGTTGCTATAAACAAAACTACGCTCACATACGATAAACCAAACTCAAAAATACTTTAACATTTTAATATTTTTATCTGATACGATCGATCAGGATCGAAATCAAAATATCTTGTTCATTTCAGGCGTGAGAATAGTTGTCTYTGATTGGTTGCGCGGAATTTCTYTTRAYTCGGTTCATGCTAACTTTATCATCATCACTATTACATGATCCAGCTTGTTCATCTAATCACGACGAACTTGAAAAATTTTAAGATTCTATAATATTTTTTTAGATTTCTTTAATACATCTTATAGACTTCTTATAGACCTTCTTGCTTCGAATGTGTTTTTATTAGACGTATTTAAATACACACCAAATTTGCATACATTAACAGTGGAGACATTAAAAGCGACGTAWCGATCGATAGTTAATTATCCTTCAATCATTTCTTTAACTATATGAGAACCTTGTTTTGGTTCTGAYAATGCAATGGCGTTTTGCTCTTTCCAAAAATATTCGAAAAAATCTTGTGGGATTTCTAGGYGAAACAACAAACAGACGTTTTTTCTTCCACTAAAATCATGTACAAATAATGTCTCAAATCATCTAAAAGGCTGCTTCCAGACTTCACCGAATGATGTGAACGTGGAATGGAAGTTGTGTCTTCTCAGAGCGGGATTATTCAATGAAGAAGATGTGGACACTTTCACAATATGCCCACTCCACAGAGATCAGTTTGGGCTGGGATGGCGTCCAAGCAAATCATGCAAACATCCAGCTCACGACAGCAAACAAAAACCGGTGAGAGGCGTAACAAAGCGACTGTCATCAGAAATATTTGAAAGTTGGGGGATTTTGTGCGAAATCGGTCAAGGTACTGCTTTATTTACTTTATTTCTCAGTTTTGCTAATTAAATTTATGAAAAAGCTAATTCAGAACGTTATTTACCATTGTTTCATGCAGGGATTTGCATGAAATGTTTAGGAATTCNACAATATGCCCACTCCACAGAGATCAGTTTGGGCTGGGATGGCGTCCAAGCAAATCATGCAAACATCCAGCTCACGACAGCAAACAAAAACCGGTTAGAGGCGTAACAAAGCGACTGTCATCAGAAATATTTGAAAGTTGGGGGATTTTGTGCGAAATCGGCCAAGGTACTGCTTTATTTACTTTATTCTTCAGTTTTGCTAATTAGATTTAAGAAATATCTAATTCAGAACGTTGTTTACCATTGTTTCATGCAGGGATTTGCATGAAATGTTTAGGAATTTACAGAAGAACTCTAGAGGGCTCAGTATCGCAGTTATGATTTTATTTATCCCATGTTTAAGTCAGTCAGGCAGTCAGTCGGTCAGTCGGTCAGTCGGTCAGTCGGTCGGTCAGTCAGTCGGTCAGTCAATCGGTCAGTCAGTTGGTCGGTCAGTCGGTAGGTCAGTCGGTCGGTCGGTCGGTCGGTCAGTCAGTCAGTGTGTCAGTCAGTCAGTCAGTCTGTCAGTCAGTCAGTCTGACAGTCAGTCAGTCTGTCAGTCAGTCAGTCAGTCAGTCAGTCAGTCAGTCAGTCAGTCAGTCAGTCAGATGCAGATGTGCCAGATCTAGAAGAGTTGTTAGTCCATTTAATTTTTGTCTTGTTTACATTTTATCCCGCCAGTTGCAAGACTCAGCCTGTAGCCTTAACGAAGAGAAAGGTAWTATACCTCCCCTAGCCCTAGCCGACAGCGATGACGAAGTGGCGGCCATCACAAGAACAAAGCGAACAGAGGTTCGTATGTCTGCATGTGTTTTTATCGTCCGGTATGGTGTAAACGCAGCTTAAGTCCTATCCATATATGTATCTATTTATAGGCGCAACCAGGGGTATACTTTAAGTTAGAAAACAAGCATGATGATTTGACGTCACTAGTGTCTCAGTTAGTCAGTCAAACAGAGTCTTTATCTTTGAATGATCAGGCTGACCAATCTGATCAAGAATACATGCCTACTCCCCTTCCAAACCGTAAACTTCAAACCCTGAATCGACAAATTACCAGTTTGAGTGACGGGCGAGTGAACCCGGTGCGATTTCAACTAAACCAAGCCATAACAGAAGTTGCCATAAGCACTCGTTCTTATATTAAATGAAAGGCCAATGAAGTAGTCACAACAACTCTTGAATGCATAGCGCCCGGACAGTCTGAAGAACTTCTCGGGCTAATAACGGCATCTTCTTCAACAATTGATGACAGACCTGAAAATGATGTCATGAAGACGCTCATTTCACTATACAATGGTGCCACRTCACGGCACACCAAACTGATATTGTTGTCAATCTTCGTCAAGCACTACACCAAAACGCAACTCAAGGCAATGGTTCCTGGACTAACAACATGGCGAATCGACGAAGCAAGAAAATACGCAGTCGCTGGAAATTTGTGCGAAGGAAAAAACCCTGTGATTCGTTATCGGTTAGATGAAAAGAAAGTCG